GCGGTAATGATGGGGGAAATGACGCCAGCTCTCAAGTTGCGGTCCATTCGATGAGATCGGACCACACGTTCCTATCCGACGAGGTTGAAATTCTCGCAAGAGGTGACAACCGCGTGAGCCGGGAGCTGCTTGAGCCATGGTTTACTGGCCCCCAGTCCATTAACAAGTGCAATGATCTTCCCCTTCCATATTCGGTGTTGAGATTTAGCTTAGGCAGACTAATTTGTCACGCGGGGAACGCACTGGTGAACACTGTTCCCAACCTGTTGCTCTTTAATTTCCTCAGAAATTAACTGCGAATTTGGAGTAGGTCAATATATACTAAGGTTTATAGACATTAATATGATATCTTGTGACCCCAAAACTATTCCAAACGCCAGAGTCGGTGGGTCAGATAGTCGAGCAAGCATCATACCAACACCCAACGCTCATGACGAAATTTCGGCGAATAACGACGCGAATGCCGGCCATCAAACGGTCATCAAACCAAGAGCAACGACTCCTGGTGAAGGGGGGGGGGCGGGGAGCCGTAAATTTTGATAGGTATGCAGTAGCATGGCGACTGCATCCTATAAATACTGCAGCTCCTTGTGCATGAACCACCCATATCTGCTATTGTCTCTGATGATGGGTTCGAGCAGGAATCTGAATAAAGCTCTTGTCCCAGCGATCGTGCCTCCTTCCTCACAAATGCTTCCTGGGACTCGTCGCTTCGCTTCTATTAGATGCGGTTGAAATTTTCATTATCATGCAACATGATTCACATTATTTAAGGCACGTCAGGACGTCGAGTTTTCTCTCATCTCAAAAATTCCCACTTTGTAAAAATTGTCTGTCTATGTAGTGTGCATTTTTCTGTTGATTTTCGATGCCTTGGAATATTTAAAATACCTTATAGAGGCCTTGCACGAAAATATTTTTCCTTGTACTAATTGTGCAGCCAATCTCGTCTTAATAAAACTTTATAATTAAGGAAAGCGTACAGTGCGTGTCCGATCTCATGAAATGTTAGCCAAAATTCTGGAATGCGTTTCCGATTAGGAAGAACTACTTAGGTGGGGTTGCTATACTGATTATCATACAGCATAACTCTATAACATTTCGGTCTCGCTAGGATGTCAGCTTTTGAATGCACTTCTTTTTGACCTCCTGCAGAAACCACATTCGGTAAAAAATGACTACTCAGATAGCATATGTTTTTCCTGTTGATTTTCGATGGTCTTTATATTTAAAAATATGTTCCGGAAAACATGCACAAGAATATGCCTTACTTTGCTCGTGTGGTGGGAAATCACATTATCCTCATATTTTACGCCCGAAGAAAGTGTATACCTAGGTTTTAAAACAGTTTCCAATTATGAGATTTTTAAGACCGTGCGATGCCCATGCATGCAAGACCGCACATGTCCATTTGCCGATGCTCCTCATGAAATGTCCAACACAGTCCGGATCCATTGCAAAATTTCATGAACTCAATGTGGTATCTTCTTAAAGGCATGGAGGAATATGTGATTTTCCTTACGCGGAAAGCATGCACTTTGCAGACTGAAATCGCTAAACGCTGATGCAATGGTATATCGGGCTGAAAATTGTTTGCGAGTCGGGAAAATTTTTTTAAAACCTAAATATACACTTTCTTGGGGCATAAAATATGAGGAAAATGTGATTGGGGTTTAGAGTTTGGGGTTAGGCTGGGTACTGTTTACTGCAGGTACGGCTACGTAATAAGGTCCGACCGAAGTTTGTCTGACAACCGGATGGGATTAGGGTGTTGGGTGTCTTTCAAGTCTGAAAGAGCGCATGAGAGGTAAAAGATGATTAGTCTCATTATGAACTATGCTGTAACTCAGCGAGTGTCACTTGTCAGCAATGAGTGGCCGCCCATGTTCAATGCTCCTGCGAGAACATGGGGTGTATTATCATGGAACTGGTTGGGGTCTGTTCTGCCGTGATTCAGCCAGTCGTAACCCTGACCCCAGCATCTAGGATCAAAAAAGTGCACACATGCGTACGTACGCGGTGTAGATGGTCCGCAGACGGTGCCCACCGGATGGGTAATAAGTATTCATTGGAGGCTAAATGCGCCTATGTTTCTCCACCTGACATATCGAGTCCTTATTCTTGCGGGGGTAAGCGCATATCGGTCCATTTGTCCTGCCCAGACAAACAGGCTCCGGATGGTTGGCGGAGGTCACAAATCATCAGGTTGCATTCGGCCAAAACGTGGTGGCAGAGGATGCTTCTCTTCATGCAACGGCAGGACGGACAGTATCGTGTCGCTGTGTCTAGGAGCTCCTCGGTCTAGAGCCTTCGCAAACAATCGACTATAGACCTTGAATAAACTGATCTATTTCAGCTTCGTAGAGTATTTCTGAGGAAATTAAAAAACGACAATTTCTAAACTGCAGTATCTACCAGAAAACATACTGGGAATGCTGGGAGACCCACTGACGAGCCGAACCTCTCGCAGCTGCGCCATGCAGCGGCATAATATCGGCGAAACACGCGTGTATGGGCTTTTGACTACCATCTGTGCTGTTAGTATGGTATCACCTTACCCTAAAGTATACTACTAACTGCCTGGCGGCAGTTAATGAGTGTCACGCGATCATCCCGCTGTGGCTGATGTACTTTGGTCCAAATATTCATGTATCAAATTCTCGGTCTGTACCTATAGACCTTGAATAAACTGATCTACTCCAACTACGTGGATAATTTCTGAGGAAATTCAAAAGCGACGATCGCATAACAACCAGTGATACACGCAGATGATAAGCGAGATCGCTTTTGATTTATAAGCCGTCGTTTTCAAGTCATACCCAAACCCACGTATGGAGAACTTGAGATTCGAACTTGGGTTCTTTGATAATCGGGCGTTTTTATGTTCAACGCTGTACCACGGATTCATGGGCCTCTTATCTTGTCGTGGAAGTGATGCCCACTGATTTAGTTACGGATCATGCCCGTCCCGTTGTTCCTTGACCCTCGCAGTTGCGGTTTCACCATCATAAAAGTTCACTTTCCAGCAGTTGGCAAGAAAATTTGTCAGTTAACCCTTGGAAAGTAGTAAAGACTCAAGCCGGACATACAACCTGCCATTTTAGCTGGCGGGATGTATGTCAGTTTGGGAAGCAAATGCATAAGAGCTACCAGCAACGAAAGTGGTTAGCTGGACATGCTAGTCGCGTACTAATTGCTTTTTAAAAGGTACGGAAACTCAAATTATTCAGCAAATTAGAAGGTTATTGAAGTTGCCATAGACGGTGCTCCTTGCCTGCCTAGAGTTCTGCGAGATTCCAGAAAGGAAGTTAGAAGAGAAATGAGGCTGCATATCATACAAATCCGTTTGAGGTTTCCGCAACAACGAACGAAGGCCAATGTTGGAGCCCCAGCCGTACGTATGGGTAAAGAGCAGAACTGACTTTTGCGGACGTCTAAACAGGGTATGGAAATAGGAACCACCTGCGACACGGGTGGCTTTGAGCCAACTTCCAGTGAAACTGAGGCTAGGTTTAAGGTAACGGTTAGGGCTAAGGTAGGGATTAGGTTTGAGGTTAGATTTAACGTTAACGGTAACGCAAGCCAGGATTCAGTTTGGGTTTAAGGATTAGAGTAGAGTTAGGGTAACGGTTAAGGCTACGATCTGGTTTTATATTAGGGTTATTGTTGGAGTTCGGACACAGGAATATGCTGCCTTGTACAGAATTATGCGCAGGCCCATCTTTATTACTCGGACGGGGTGTTCTCATTCCAGGGTACTGTTTAGACGTCCACATAAGTCAGTCCCGCCCAAGTAACTCTTCGCCTTCATGTGAATCTAGACCCCAGACTTTAAAAAATGAAAGTCCACCAAGTCATTTCGAAAGGTTCTCAACAGGCTCTTCAATAAACTTCTTTTTCGCCTCTCTCCCCTCTGAGTCTGGTAGCTTATATGATAGGGGACCACTGAGCGCCAGTTCAAACCACGATACTTCGCGAAATGTTGACCAAAATTCGGAAATGTGCTTTCATTTCGAAAAGATTTCTTAAGTAGGTCTGTCACATCAATTTTCATGTTGCATATTGCTAAGATATTCCATTCACACCGGGATGCCGGATATCGAAGGAGCTTCTTTTTAACCACTTGCATAAACAAAATTCCGTAAAAATGACTACTTAGGTAGCATGAGTTGCTCCAACTGGCTTTTGACACTCCTGTAAATTCAAATATATTTTATGGAAAACACACACAAAGTATGTTTCTTTTTTTCATCTGGCAGCAAATTGCGTCTTCTTCAAATTCTATGTTTGACGAAAGGATATCCTTCGACTTCAAAACTTTCTCGATCCCCGGTTAATTTTGAACCCGACCTGTCGTTACACTTGCAATCAAGGCTCTCAAACTAAAAGCTGTAGAATTTCCCTGTAAGGAAAATCGCACATTTCTGTATTTTATTAGGGAGAAGGCAATTAATGTCGACCTTTTTGTACACTTTAGGTACAGCGTTAGTAAATGTGCTGATGTAATGTTATGCGATTGAACATTTCATGCTGTTAATTAATCTCACAAATCTCATTACTGAAAAATGTTCCGTCTTCAAGTATAAAATTTGAATAAAACTAAATTTGCTGCCAAATGAATATGATAAAGGATGAAGGCGAAATTTTGAGTTTCAGGCGTATGCATAAGTGAAGAAGAGTCGAGCACCGAAAGACTTTGTTTATTGTCCTGAGCTTTCAGACTCGTACAGGAGTCCATCGTCAGAGGTAGTAGCAGCAGCTGAACAAGCGACAGTTATAAGGCCAATAATCGACCGACGGCGCAAGATTGGAGGTGTCTACGCAGGGCTCTGTACGCCGGCGCCAGATCGATAAATCAATTTGCACACCGTCCCAAAGCCACTATGCGCAATAGGATCGTGGAAATCCAAGACCGGTTAGATCCTGAAGAGCAATCAGGGGTGGTGTATCGCATTCCGCATCCAAATTGTCCTTGTAACTACACAGGGCAGACTTGGCGCATGCCCGGATCGCGCATACGCGAACATAAACTGGCTGTGCCACGAGGTGACGCATTATCACAAGTGGCCGCCCACACCTACGAAGTGGGTCAAGAGTCTAACTTCGCAGCCACCAAAATAGTCGCCCACGCCGGAAATAAAACGGGCCGGGAATTGACTGAAGCCTGGGCCTCGGATGAGAACTCCGTCAATCAGTTTATCGATCTGGCGCCGACGTACAGAGCCCTGCGTAGTCACCTCCAGTCCTGCGCCGTCGGTCGATGATTGGGCCTACATGCCTTATAACTGCCGTTTGTTCTGTTGCTGCCACTACCTCCGACGATGGACTCCTGTACGAGTCTGAAAGCTCAGGACAATAAACAAAGTGTTCCGGTGCTCGACTCTTCCTCTTCACTTATAGTAAAGGATATTTTCGTGCGTGCTTTTCATGAAATATACTTGAATTCACCAGGACGTCGAAAATCAGTTGGAAAAATTCGTGCTACATAAGTAGCCATTCTTTTATGGAGTGTAGTTTACGTAGGCGGTAGATAAAGAGCTCATTCGAAGGCCGACTTCCTGACGTGATTGGAATAACTTAACATCATGTGGCATGATAATTAACCTGACAACCCTACTTAAGTAATCTTTTCGAAGTGAAAACGCACTCCAGAATTTCGTCAACATTTACCCAGATAGCACATCTACCGTTTTATTAGTCGATGGCTATTGAGAAGTCGAAAATGAGCATTCCATATACTTGAGATTTGTTTATTATTTATTACTAATCACGAGTAGACGGTCCCATTCGGCTTCTTATCCGGGATTTCAAACGGATTGTCTTCCAGCAAGCGGCATGACGCAATAAACAGGAGTACTGTTTAGAAGGAAGTCGCTCATGTTTAATTTAATGTACACAGCCTTCCGACCAATCTTTCCAATGAGTAATCCTAGCTGCATTCATAAGTGGTCGATCGATGGGACAAGATATTTATTTATCTGACATTTTTGAATGGTCTTCCTAACTCGAAGTCAGAGGACAGCAACACATAGAGGTAGCAGGGGCGCCGTATCCCCTCTCTCATAGACTTTGATCAGCGGCAAAACTGATTAACTGATCTGTTTATGATGCTTCATATTATTTCGAAAATTATGGACTGCGGCAAAAACTGGAATCCTCATAACTTCACACAGTTTATTCCACCGCTCACGCCCGCAAGCCGGCCGGGAGCTCTTCTCCGATTGGTTACAGGCGCCACACAATGCTAAGCGGCCCACTCTGACCCCCGCAACGGTCTCACCCCCACCACAGGTCGCCCAATATATGCGCAGGTTAGCCACTGGCGGGGGGGGGGAGACTGAATGGACAGGGCTCATCAAGGCGCAACCCACGCACTGTGAAGTGCGCCGCACGCGCCTAAAAATGCGCGCCTGTCCGCCTCTCTATCCCGCCAACGGAGGCGGCAACGTAAGCATTCGCTGAAAGGGAGAGACAGACTCAACCGATGTTCACACAGGGGGTGACACGGACGCACCCCGGTGACTTTCGCTGGCTCGCTCTGTCGACGCACCCTCCCCCCGCCCCCTGCCCACCGGCCCTCTCCCGCGCTAACCTGCGTGCTTGGACTCAACACACAGCACACACACACGCCACAAAGTCGCCGCTATTCTCACCACATCGCGTGCGAGCGAGAGAGAGAGAGAGATATCACCGCCACCGCCGTTGTGCTCAGGTCTTCTTATATACGTCAAAACACAAAAGAGTTTGCAATTCGGTGAAACCCATCGGTCGTCAAGATCTGCGAGAGGTGAGTATCTCCCTTTCCCTAACTTTACATGCTCACTCATGCTCTCCTCGAGCCTACTTCTGCATTTCATTAGTTTCTCCAGCCCAAAACTGCATGTAGCGTCCTGTTAGATCTAATCCTACACGCCCACCTGTTATAGACCCGATGACATCGTTCCAGTCAGTTCTATATTTACAACTTATCCGCCGCATGTAAATGACATTAGTGGATGGAAAGTTGCCCATATGTGACTTGATACTACATTAAAGACAACAGTATCGAATGGGGGACATTATGAAGAAAAGTAGCTTCTTGACACCTGACGCAATCTTCTTCTTTTGCCAGCTTCTAATCGCGTTGACTGAGCCGTTCTCAGATGTCAGTTAGCGGATGACGTCCAGCTACAGGGTATGAAAAACTGCTATTTAATTTCAACAATGATGCCAAGTTCGTGTCGTCTGTACTGTCCGTAGCGAAACTTAGCGACGCTTTCTTGGGGGATAAGAAAGGGTCTGACAGCGCAGATTAAGACCAGAAATTAGTCCCGTTGAAAAGCGGAACTAAAATGTTAAAATTACAATCAACCATAGGTATTCGTAAGATACAACTATTCTATCATGAATGCTTGAGGAGTTTTCAGATGCGAACTTTTTAACGGTGAGATGTGGTTATGTAGCCCCATCTGATGGACACAATACTGTTGGGTTGGGGTTAGGGGTGCGGCCAAGGGTTAGAGTTAGTTTTGGGACCAGGGTTAGGGGCTAGGGCTTAGGGTTAGTTGTTAGGTTTAAGGGGTTAGGGTTATGGATTGGGGTAGTTATTTCTCAACCACTCAAAGTACAGCCGCGCATCTCCAATAGCTTTTTCTTTTGCATACAGTCGCTTCACCTTGTCGCCTGTGCGTTCCCCGGCCCCACCTACAAGAACCCCTATTGCCACCGGTCCCGTATTACTGGCGGCGGAGGTTCGTTTACTACAGGTCGGACTGCATAACCACATCTGATCGCCTCCGACTTTTGCACATAGAGTATTCAAGGCGGTTTTAAGTAGTGACTTGTTGTGCATATTAGCTGGAAGTCAAAATTTTTTGCGAAACTTCAAGACTGTCTTGGTGAGTCAATCGAATGTTAGATCTACCCGGCTCCGCAAATAGCAGCAACGAGTGTCTAAGGATCTTTAATTTAAAACTGAACAGGTAGTGATAGATACGTAGAGGGTCTAACAGCAAACCAGCTGCCGCTCCTAAATTAGTCGGCGAGCCCTTCAATTGTTATTTTGGCGCCAAGACCTCCAGACGCGCTTACGTTGCGCAGACATGACACAAATACAGTAACAGGTTTATTACTAAATAAAAGTCCAGAAAATCCAACCTAAATACCCTTGGTCACTGCAAATGGTAGTAAAACATGAATACAAATAACCCTCACCCTAACGCCAGCTGTAGTGCGTGAATGATGGAAGGGGGGGGGGTTTCACGTGTGGGCCTCGACAAGGTTTCCGAGAACTCATTGGTTATTCTGAATCCGGATCAGTTTCGCAGCCATTCTCCGAAAATGGGCGTGCGCATTTTCCTTATGAGATTTCATGGTTTCTCGGTTACTAATTATATTGCACGGGATTGGACTCAGAACGAGTTTTTACGGAGTAATCATGGCGAACCGAAACCCAACTCAACTGGCTAATAGGAAGTGGGGGATGCGTTGAAGTCTACTAATTGCCGGTGGGATCTGATTATCTGATGAGCCTGTCAGCTGTTATTTTGGTGCATCGCCGATGACCAAACATCGGACGGACTTACGTTGCGCAGGCGTGAGATAGGATTCAGTAACAGGTGCATTAATAATAAAAAATGCAGATAATCCAACCTAACTACCCCCCCCGGGCACTGCGAATAGTGGTAAGCTGTGCGTACAAATATCCCTACCTCCAACACTGTTGATGGTAGAAGGGAGTTAACGGGTGGAGTTTGGACACTCTTACCGAGAACTCTGTTTCTGGATCAGTTATCTGGCTCTTTTCTGAGAATGGACAGGCAGTATTTTCTTTGTGAGATTTCGAGGTTTCCCCTCAACTGCTTATACTGCGAGGGAGTTAATTCAGAGGTACCTAATACAGTAAAACAGTCACATGGCGTTGTTATGCGTTTCTGGTTTGCCACCTAATTTCGGCTGCATCATCCGTTCCTTTGAAAGTCTCCACCCGTGGAACCTCGTCCTACCACCATTCCCATGCCAACTCACGGGGGAGCGGGCGTATATCTCCTACCCGACGCAACGGGTGCCTCCCCCCTCGCAGAACTACCCCGTCGATTCCGTTTTTCCTCCTATGAAAGCTGGCGGTAGGGGTGATCGTTAGAGCAATTTAGCCTCCAGGACAATTGGGTCTCCCCCCCCCACCGGGGGGGGGGGGAGGTCTCTTCACAATGAAATCGTACTCAACACTAGTCATCTCTTGGCTGATGTAGAAAGGAAGTATTCGCCCTTCCCATCTGTCGAATAGCAGTAATTAGCGGAGAAAGGAGGCTCTGCCGGGATGACGAGCCCCCAGTTTCCCACCTCGAGGAACGGTTTGCTAGACGGCGGTACGGCTCCGTCTGTTCTAAGACCCGCATTCTGCAGGAAGGAAGTGGTTATGTGCGGGAAGGGAGCAAAGGACGGGTCGGATTGGGTGCGGTGGGGGGAGGGCTGGCATTGTTAATTTTTTTCTTGGCCAGGCGCAGTTTGCATGTCGTGGGCGGAATCTATATATATACATATGTAGCTCCGGAAGTGGAGGCTCCATGACAGGTGACTTCCGTCTTCCCAGTACGCTCCCCTCCTTCCTCTCTCCCCTCCTGAAGCGTTCAAGCTGACTTTTGGATGAAAGAGCCCGCTATTCGCATGGAATGCGAAAGTCCTGAGGTTGGATGCCGACTGTGATGTCAATGGCTACAAGCTGATGGGTCCATCCATAAGCCCCTTCACTAAAAATTGTGAGATGGAAATACTTCATCGGTCGGTTTGCAAGAATTACTCGTCCCGTTGTGCCTTGGAGTTCAATGTGGTGCCCACGTAGACAGGCAGACTGTAATGGCTAGGTGCGGCAAAAACCTTAGATTGGATGTGACTGACTGAAGACGGTTAACAGTCCAGAAAGTACCACTGCGGATACACTTATTCTCGTTTTTGTCGCTGTGAGACCGTCCGTGAAGGTTTTGCAATGGGCTTCAAGGGACAATGGAAAACTCTTTAAAAACCTAATTATACCCCTTCTTCGAGCAGAAAGATAAAGATGACGTGAGTCACTACCAAACGACTGAAAGGAAATATATTTTTCTTCGGCGTTTCTATAAAATATATTTAAATTTACAAAATCATCGAAAATCAATTGCAAGATGCATGCTACTGAAGTAGTCATTTTTTATCAAATGCGGTTTCTGCAGGAAATTGAAAGGCAGTGCTTTCAAAAGCTGGCATACTGCCAAGTCCGAAATTTTATAGGATTATGTCGCAAGATGAT